ACGGTGGCGGCGGAACAAAAAACGGTTGCCACTACACAGTGTCTCTAGCACCATTACCACCAGCTCCAGCAACCCCAGCGCCAGCACCTCCAGCACTAGCGCCTCTAGCTCCAGTGCCTCCAGCTCCAGCACCTCCAGCGCCACCGCCTCCAGCTCAAGCGCCTCCTGCTCTAGTGCCTCCAGCTCTAGCTCCTCCAGCTCTAGCGCCTCCAGTACCAGGGTCTCCAGCTCCAGTGCCTCCAGCTCCAACGCCTCAAGCTCCAGGGTGTCCAACTCCAGTGCCTCCAGCTCCAGCGCCTCTATTTCCCGGGTCTCCAGCTCCAGCGTCTCCAACACCACCAGCTCCGGAAGCTCCAGTACCTCTAGTACGAGCACCTCAAGGACCAGCAGCTCCAGCACCTCCGGTACCTCCAGCTCCAGTGCCTCCAGCTCCAGCGCCTCTGGCGCTAGGGTCTCCAGCTCCAACGCCTCCAACACCACCAGCTCCGGCAGCTCCAGTACCTCTAGTACGAGCACCTCCAGGACCAGCAGCTCCAGCATCTCTGGTACCTCCACCTCTAGCGCTTCCAGCACCAGCAGTAACTCTAGCACCTCCAGGACTAGAAGCTCCAGTGCCTCCAGCTCCAATGCCTCCAGCAAAGGGGCCTCCATCTCCAGCAGCGCCACTCCTAAGGCGTGTGCGCTGAGCAAACCACTCGTGCAGCTACCGCGGTAAGAGAGGCTACCGTCGGCGAGACTGCAGTGGCGAGGCAACCGCCGGACCTCCGGCAGACACAGTACCCCTAGCCTCAGCATCCCCAGACTCAGTACCCTCTGGCTCAGCACCCCCAGGATCCGCACTATCAGACTCAGCACCCCCAGGCTCCTCACCCTCAGGCTCAGCACCCCCAGGCTCCGCACTCTCAGGCTCAGCACCCCCAGACTCTGCACCCTCAGGCTCAGCAGCCCCAGGCTCCGCACTCGCAGGCTCAGCACCCCCAGGCTCCACACCCGCAGGCTCAGCACCCGCAGACGCAGCACCCCTAGCAGCACCACCCCCAGCAGCACCAGAGTCTACAGCGACCTCGACAGGCTCAGCCAGGGGAGTGGGTCTACCTGAGACACACCTGAGGGAGCAGGACCCTGAGGTGGGAGGGGGTCTACCGGAGGGGGACCTAGAGCAAGGAAGAGCGGCGGGGGGGGGAGAGGGGCAATGCGGTAGGGGAAGAGACGGTAAAAGGGAACCGACTCATCAAACGTGACGTCCTGAGTCGCCAACCTTCCCCGTCCAACGCAATGTATGCGATGTCTCCGGCAAGGAGACACGGGGCTAGAGGCTGAGCAGATGCGCAGCGTACCGGACTGCAAACGGCCACAGAAAATGGGGAGCGGCCGCATGGATCATGGAGGTACGAGCGACCTCCATGACTAAGCCAATGTGGCGCTCAGCAACCCCATTTTGCTGCGGGGAGGCCGGAAGCGTGAACGACTTGAGGATGCCCTCCCCACGACAAAAGTCCCGCAAGAGGTCGGAGGAGAACTCACCACCTCTGTCAAAGTGCAGACGTAGGACAGGAAGGTCCTCACGGAACCGCTCGCGGAGCTGGAGACGGACTTCACGGATACAAGGGATCAAGACATCAGGGACCTCACCCTTTCTGCGCAAGGGGAAGACCGTGGTCTAACGCGTGTAGTCGTCAACAACTAGCAGGAAGTAGCGCTCGCAGTCCTATCCACTGACGCGGGCTGGGCCCCACACGTCCATGCGGAGAGTCTGCAGGGGAGCAGTCGTCAGGGGAAACAAGGAGTGAGGAGCGGCGCGCTGCCGCCCCTCGACGCAAGGAAGGCAGGGCGGGGCATGCGAGGGTGGGAGGGGAGGCAGAGACCTGGGAAGACCAGAAACAAGGAGGCGGGAGTGCATCCCACGAAGGCGTGGCAGGGAGGGGTGACCAAGGCGGTGGTGCCAAAGGAGAGTCTGGTGCGACAGGAGGCGACACAAGCAGGGGGCTCCTACCGGACCTGAGGAGGCTCAGTACTTAGTGTGTATAGACTCGACCCAGGCCAGGTGACGGCCCGTCCGTGTACACGTGCAGATCGACACACGCTGACCCCCAGGAGTGGTGGTAGTGACCATCGCATCCTGGACGGAAGCGGTACTCACCAAGTTCATAGAGAACGAGGGGAGGTGAAGACCTGAGAGTGAGCTGGACGAAACTGCCGGACACGGGAGAACAGTGGAGGAACGTGCAAGAACTGGGCCCCCTGGGGGGTCAGCCAGTCTGACTGGAACAGGTGCAGGGAGTGGAGTGAGTGTGGTACTGTCGCGAAAGAAACAACGGGAAGCACCTGAGTCAAGCGTGAAGGTGTGCAAGGCCTCAGTAGGCGCAGTACCAGGGAGTGCAGACTCACTAGCACCTAGAGCAGCAGCCTCTATACCTGGGTCGGGCGGCACACACAAGTAACAGTCACCCTAGGCACTAACAGTCAAGGCATACATGGCAGCAAGGATAGCATCATAGTCAAGAGCAAAGATATCAACACCACACCTTAGCAGCTCTAGCCAGCAGGGGCGCTCAGCGTCGTCGCCAAACTTTGCGCGCCAAGCGTCGTCAAGGCGGGAGAAGCAGCGGTGCTGTGTGTTAAACTTCGCGCATGTCTGACCAGCGCGGTCACCTATGCAAATGACATATAGGCAGTGAAAAATACCCCCAGACGCCCCACGCTGAGCAAACCACTCACAAAGCTGCTGGGGCGTAGGGGTCTCGCTCGGACGCTGCTGGTGCTGCCTCTGGCCATCGCCAGAACCTCCCCTCTGAACAGCTCCACCCCAACCGCCACCACTACCGCCGCCACCGCTCCCACTGCCGCCACCATCGCCACCACCACTCCCACCACTGCCACCACCGCCGCCACCGAAGCCGCCACTCCCGCCACCACTCTTGCCTCCCTTGCCCTTGCCGCTGCGGCGCTTCCCACTAAGAGCATAAGCAGCCCCGACGTCCTCAGTACCAAGGATGTCAACAGCAGCAGCAGAAGCGTAGGAGGGGGCAAAGGGGGAGGGGGAACACCCCTCAAAGAAGGGTGTTTGAGGAGTGCCACGAGCAGCACCTACAGCGACTCCGCTAGTCTCAGCTGCAAGGAGGTGCTTCTCGAGAACGTCGACAGTGAGGTTTGTGGGGTCAAGTGCGAGAAAGTGGTCCCTGACTGCGCGAAGAGAGTCAGCGAGGCGGGTGACTATGAAGTAGAGAGTGATGTACATCGGGGGCGGGTTCTTGTCCAGGAACTCGGCTGGGAGGGCAGCGCGGTAGCGAGTGTCGCTAGTGCGAAGGTGGGTGATGAGGTCCTCGACTGTGGCAAAGGCTGACAGCTCGGGAAAAAGGTAGGGCAGTATAAGGCGGCTGAGTGCTGCAGTGGCAGGGGAAGAGTAACGAACGACTACAGCGTCGTACAGGGCTTTAGCAGTATTGTGCTGGCCAAAGTGAGCGCGTTCGGCTAACGGCAGGTGGTTGCGAACGGCTAAGCGAGCAGCAGCGTCACGGGTAAGCCACTATGAGCAAGTCGCACTGTCAGCTGTGGCGGGAGGGGCGAGAGAGGCTCCAAACGTGTGGTCAAACAACGAAACGCTGTCTCTAGAATCGCTCCGTAGGTACAGCTGTAATTCGTCGAGCCACGTGTCGAACTGGATCAGACGGCCCTCATGATCGAAGGTGAGAACGCTGAGAGAAGCCATAGCGGGCAGAGGAGGGTGGCGCGTGGCCAGCAGGGCAGCACGCAGGCAAGGACGGCGCGACGGGCAGGGCGGCGCGCGAGCACTAGGGAAGCGCCCAGGGCAAGGCGGGGCGGCGCACGGCTAGGGAAGAGCGGCGCGCGGCCAGGGCAGGGCAGCGCAAATGGCAGGGCAGGGCGGCGGCCAGCAGGGCGGCGCGCGGGCAGGGCAGGGCGGTGCGGCGGCCAGCAGGGCGGCGCGCGGGCAGAGCAGGGCGATGCGCAGGCAGGGCAGGGCGGGGCGGCTGCCAGCAGTGCGGTGCGCGGGCAGGGCAGGGCGACGCGCAGGCAGGGCAGAGCGGCACGGCGGCCAGCAGGGCGGCGCGCGGGCAGGGCAGGGCGACGCGGCGGCTAGCAGGGCGACGCGACCGGCAGGGGAGGGCGGCGTGCTACCAGCAGGGCGGCGCGCGGCTGGCAGGGCGGCGCGACGGGTAGGGCAGGGCAGCGCTCGGCCCGCAGGGCGGCGCGACGGGCAGGGCAGGGCAGCGTGCGGCCAGCAGGGCGGTGCGACGGGCAGGGCAGGGCAGCGCGACTAGTGGGGCAGCGCTACGAGCAGGGAACTATGCGGTGGGCCCTAAAAAAAAAAACGGTCTTGGAACAGGACCTGCTCTGAAACCATGTCAAGAAACTGAACGAGAATGAATGCATTGAGCAGAAAGTTGGTGCAAGTACTAACCCTAATTGGGTTGTACCCCTTATGGGCTACCCCACTAGAGCCTACACAATATAAGCATTATAACATTTTGACAGTGCATCCTCTATCCTCTCCTGCGGCAACTTTCATATTTCAGCAACAGTATTGTTATTAAAATATTCTTGCTTTACCTTTCAAGCACTTGAACACTTGCAAAACAACATCCTGTTTGTTGTACGGTAACGTCATACACCCCATTGTCAAGAACTGAATGTAGATCTGACTAAGGTTGGTTGGGGTACATAAACCTAACCCTAACTGATGTACCCCATATGACACACATCACTAAGTCTATGACATCTGACACCCATTTCCCCATTCTGGCAATGTGTGCTTGCGAAACATGATGCATGGTGTGTACAGATGGTGTGCTGCTATGATCTAGCCTTGAGTCAGGGAAACCCAGGGGAAATTATATTCATGTACATATTGCCAAAGCGTCTCTGGGTCAGCATACCAATGCTGGAAGGCTATTTTCACTTGAGTGATGGAACCTGAGTACCTATGCTTGCATGCAGTCTCATTAACTATAAATCTAAGCTTATGAGTGGTGAAAGAAACGTCACTGCCGGAGCATGTCACACCCTGTAGTAGAGACGCACTCGAGCATTCTAAGCTCAGATATGTCGTCAGGCAGAGCCTCCAGCTGCTTGCATCCATGGATATCAAGCCTCCTCAGTCTGCTGAGCTGAGCAAAGCCAGGCGGAAGAAGGTGGATGCTGGTGTACCTGACGTTCAGCTCATGCAGGCAGGAGAGCTGCGTGAGAGACGCAGGGAGACGCGTGAGCGATGAGCAGTAGGATAAGTCCAGCTTGCGCAGCTTTGAGAATGCCCCAAAGGCATGCGGAAGAGAAGGCAAGTTTTCCATGAGGATTCTAATGGATGTCAGGCAGTGGAGAGTGGTGATGGCCGCAGGCAGCTCTGTGAGTTCAACAACACCCCTCATTTTGGAGATGTTCAGCTGGCGTAGCTCCTGCAAACCCAAGCCCTCAGATTCCACCAGCGTGTTCACACTGCGAGCCTCCTCGAGTGTCAAGGTGCGGAGGCGAGCAAGCCTGGTCAGTGCGGACAGAGACTCCTCCGCACCCGCTCTGAGCTCCAGCTCCAGATGCTGCACATTCGAGAGATGCTCACCGATGGCCTCAATACAGGCTGCGTCCACCGTGTGCAAGCACAGCTCCCTGAGCCCTGTAAGTCTTGAAATATCTGGCAGAGACCCCAGCTGCTGATTTTCTGAGTAGCGGAGAGCCTGCAGACTGAGTGGCAGAGCCTGAGGGGCTTCGTTCAGCCGCCAACACCCCCGCAGCTCCAACAGCGTCAAGCTGGTAAGCCCATCCAGCCTCCTGGGAACCGACACGAGATCTTCACACTCTGTGATCCTCAGCACTTGAAGGCTGCCAAGCGACGTCACAGCTTCTGGAAGCTCCTTAAGAGAATAGCAGTAATGAATGTAGAGCTCCTGCAGGTTTGTCATCTCCCCCATGCCCTCTGGAAGCTCACTATTGCACCCTTGCAGCTCCAGCCTGGTAAGCGAAGCCAGCTGCGCTAATGACGACAGCAGCTGCCCTAGGCTGTTTTTCTCGAAATGAAAGGTGTGGAGGTTGGTCAGGCCGCCCAAGTCTTCTGGAAGCTGCAAGATGGACGACCCTGTAAGGCTCAGAGACCGGAGGGCTGTGAGGCGACCAAACCCTGCAGGAAGCTCCTCCATATCTTCGCACCAATGCAGAAAAAACGTCTCCAGAGATGCAAGTCTGGTGAACGAGGCAGGGAGAGTGCAAAGCGGCAGCTGGTTCAGCACCAACGCCTTCAAGGCTGGAAGATGGCCAAAGTCTTCTGGCAGATCGAACACTCTGCAGCGGGATACGGTCAGGCTCTCCAGGCAGGTGAGCGACGTGATCGCGTCAGTTAGATCGCTCAAGGTTTCGCAGTCGTTGATGTTGAGCTCTTGGAGGCGCGGCAGCACCTGCCCAATGTTGCTTGGAAGCCGCTCTAGGTCGAAGCAATATCTGAGCTGCAGGCGTTTCAGGAACCTGAATGGCGATCCAGGAGGGAAAAAAACGCTGAAGTGCGCATCATACGCTCCGAACTTGAGCGAATGGAGAGTAGGAAGCTGTGCGAGCGAGAAGGTGGGCGGATCTGCTGAAATCATGCGAATGTCGTCAGGCAAGGAGAGGCGGGTGAGGTTGGTGAGTTGAAGGAGGCTGGAGAGCTGGTTGTAGTGAAGGTTGGGGGTTTCGATGGAGACTGCTGTGAGAGACGAAAGAGAGCTGAGATCTGGAGACTTTAAAATGAAGGCGGTGGTCAAGACGAGGGTGTGCAGATGCTGAAGCTGGAAGAACGAAGCTGGCGGGTTCAGATCTTCCTCGAGACAGAACAGCGACAGCTGCTCCAGTTGAGAGCAGTGACGGAAGAAAAAGTCCAAGCCCGATTCTGTTATCACGCGTCCATTGCTTCCATGCTGTCCCTCGTACTCCATCCCCACGTGCAGCGCTCTCAACCCAGGGCAAGAAACGGCGAGATCAGCTAGAAACACGTCATCCACCGTCTCAACGCTGAAATCCGACAGATGCAGATGGGTCAGCAGAGGAAAGCAGGCGACCGCGTTGAGCACATCGCGGTGAGACGCGACGCGGTTATCCTTTACGAGCAGCGTCGAGACGTGCCTCTGAGCGAGTCGCCGCCAGCGACGGCAGATGGACGCGATGAAGAGGTTGTGAGCGGCATCCGCGGAGGCAGGAGGGGTTGGCATGGGAGAGTCACTTCGCTTGCGCCATGGCTCTTCTGGAGTGGCGTGCGCGACAAGGTACGTGGGCCTGGGCACCACAAAATTCCAGATATCATCGCTCTCCGAAGTGTACGGGCTTGACGGTGTGGAAGGCCATAAGATCCGAATGAGGACGTCGTCGAGGAGATCGTGGATGTGGGTTCCACTAGAGTCCATGATCACAGTTCGACTAGAGTCCATGCTAGCGCCGTCACGTGCACCAACTGGCAGCTCAAGTGAAGCTAATAAAACCTTGCCAGAGTGGAATGGCCGGGACCACGGCTTCCAGGAGTATAGAATAGATTGTTAGGGAAGGTTGGTTGAGCTCTTTCTGACTAGTACGACCTCATATAGTTGCGACCGTTGCTGCCTTTGAGGACTCGCCCAATCACCTATCGCAAGGGAACGCTGAGGTCGCTGCGGCAGATTTGTGTGCACCGCAGCTAGGAAGATGCTCACTTGGCTACGCTGTGCCTTCAGCAGGTGCTTTCAGCAGCTGCTATACCGAATTCACAAGGCTCTAACTTGATTGAGGGATCTGTATCTTTCTGAGCAGTTTTCCCCTAGATATCTCCTCACCATTCATTCCCTCCTGGGGCTGACCGACAGCTGCTTTTCCTCCTTCCTGAGGTTTGTGCGGTTTACCCCCAAGCCTGCCATCCGGGTGTGTGAACCTTCGTGACTCGAACAAGGTCCAGTCTGTCTCGGGTCGTTTTGCAGGATCCAAGGAGTTCCTTGGCGTTCAACTTATAAGTGGTGAACCAGGTCCAAGACGTGCAAATTTTGGGTGAGTCTCTGGTTGGCAAATTTCCGCGCATCTCCCTGAACAGCGCGAAGGTGCATTTCTTGGCTGGATGACCCTGCGGCTTGTTTGGGCATTTTCATTGCTTGATCCCGGGTTCCCACAACTTTGTTTCGCACTTATTATTCTCACATTAGCCGCTTCGGGGTCCAGCGCTTGGAACCCGCTTGCATGATGCATCACGCCCTTACCCCAGCTATGGTTACTCCCAAACCTACGCTGGTTTCACTAACCAAGGCACAGGTTCGGAAACTACTCAAAAACTGATACCCAAAGCCCGAATTACACAACGAAATCAACGTGGAAATTCTAGGTTCGGAAAACCCCAGGAGGAGGTTCGGGGGGAAAATCGAAAACCAAACGCATCAACTACCCACTAAAAAAATTGGACCAATCGCGTGAAACTGGTGACAGTTTGCCACCCGACTCGGTAATTCTGTGTCTGGCTGGGGTGTACGCCATCAATATTTTTTTGTTTGTTTTATTCTGGCTTATATAGGGGTTCATAATTTATATTTTCCATTCATTTGATTGATCACAATTGCATTCATGGTTTTGGACCATAAACCCTAACTGTTTTCATATTTTCTGCTATTTTCATACTATTAACCGCGTTCGATCGAAGCCAATAATATATTTAACAGCATAGTCGCTGGGTCCGTCGCAGATACATTTCCATTTTTCTCAAAACCTAAAGAAACTTCCTACGACCCTAGATGCGATGCTGGACGACTGAACTAGTTAGCGCACTATGTGCGTAAGTGTTACATCTGACCGCCATCACATCTTTTACGTTTGGGGTTTTGGTTTAGGGTAACATGTGTATAATAGGAAGCACTATGATACATCTGCAAGTACAAGCTTAAAGTCGAGACATAACAAGTGATAGATAGTTACGTGCAAAATCAGTAACAATCTACTCCACCAAACTCATACGTAGAGGCATCCCATATTTAGGGGTAAGTGTGATTCCCACACTAGGCAGGTGTACATATGTGGGCGAGAGGTCCCACTCGAGGCGCCTGAGCAAATGCGCAAGGACAACCTTGGCCTCTGTGAGAGCAAAGTTGGAGCCAATGCAGTCCCGGGGGCCCGCTGAGAACGGCACAAAGGCCTGTGGGTGCGAACATGCTCCCTGTATGCCGTCTGTGGGGACTCATGGCGAGGGGAGGGTGGGCAGGGGGAGGATGAAGGGCAATGAGGGGATGAAGGGCAGTGGGAGGAGCCGAATCAAGGAAAGACCCGGGGCGGAGAACCATGTGAGTACCCATGTGGAGAGAGGAGCGTGTGATGCGCCAGCTGCGCCGAAATGAAACGAAGTTCATTTTTCACAAACACTTGAACCTAAGATGCATGCACTCTGACTGAGCTCTGAGTGCTCACGTGAACCTTAACTGTGATGAGTGAACCCGTTCCCCCCTCTCTTCTCCCTCCCTCCCTCCCGTCCACCCTCCTAGCAGCAGATGGATGGTGTGACAGCATGAGGCGCGGCTGCGGGCATACCCTTGAAGCGGGCGGGGTTGAACTCGAGCGTGTCCTCCCCCCAGTAGCGCGGGTCGCTGTGCGGCATGGCAAGGGACATCATGATTCGCGTGCCTGCTGGGATGCTGTACGGGCCCAGGGAGACATCCTGGTGGGCATGGGAAATGCGGAAATACGGCAATGGCGAAGGCATGGGGGAAGGCATGGGGAGAGGCATGGGGGAAGGCATAGGGGAAGGCATGGGGGAAGGCATGGGGAGAGGCATGGGGGAAGGCATAGGGGAAGGCATGGGGGAAGGCATGGGGAAGGCATGGGGGAAGGCATAGGGGAAGGCACGGGGGAAGGCATGGGGAAGGCATGGGGGAAGGCATGGGGGAAGGCATGGGGAAGGCATGGGGGAACGGATGGATGTTAAGGCATGGGGTAAAGGAAGGCACGGGGAAAAGGATGGGAAGGCATAGGGGAAAGATGGGAAGGCGTGGGGAAAAGGATGGGAAGGCATGGCGGAATGGAAGGCATGGGGAAAAGGACGGGAAGGCATGGGGGAAATGGAAGGCATAGGGAAAAGGATGGGAAGGCATGACAGAAAGGAAGGCATAGGGAAAAGGATGGATGGGAATGCATGGCGGAAAGGAAGGCATGGGGAAAAGGATGGATGGGAAGGCATGGTGGAAAGGAAGGCATGGGAAGGCATGGGGGAAAGGAAGGCATGAGAAGGCATGGGGGAAAGGAAGGCACTGGGAAAAGGATGGGAAGGGTGGCTCTACGGCATGGCGAGGTGCATGATGATGGTCGTGCTGGCAGGGATGACGCACACAAATCACAGAAGGGCTGGGCCTGTATGAAAGGGGAAGGGACACACAGGACACAAAGGGCAGCAATGAGTGTGCCTGTACGTTTTATGGGTGTGCCTTACCTTGCTGGCCTCCCTGGTGATGGTAGGCGTGGGTGGGAAGAGCCTGAGCGTCTCCAGCAGCACCATGTGCATCTGCCTCAGCTGCGCCACTTGCTCCCATGCCACCTCCACTCCGCCCCCTCCCTTCTTGCCCCGCGCCCCCTCCTCCTGCTCCCCTTCCTCTCCACCTTCCATCGCCCCTTTCCCTGCATCCCCATTCTCCCCCATCACCTGCCACACCTCCTCCCGCAGCTTTTGCTGCCACTCAGGGAAGCGCGCTAGCAGGTACACGCCCCACGTCAGCAGCTTGGCTGTTGTCTCATGGCCTGCCAGTGGGAGGGGTGGGAACAGTATGGGAGCATGGGAGAAAGGAAGCATGCCCCTCTGTGTCTCACACCAACTGGTGTACCAGTCGCTGTAAAACCATCACCGCATATCACCCATCACCTTGCGTCACCATGCTCACTCACAGCATATCAACCCACATCGCCACATACACAGCACCACCCATCAGCACCGATCACCACCCATCTGCAAACACTACCACATGTCACCCTACGTTACCACAGCACCATCTCCACATGCATTCCACGAGCACTTATTGCCAGCACCACTGGCAGCAGCAGCAGCAGCAGCAGCAGCACCACCACCACCACCGCCAGCACCACCAACAACACAAGCATCAGCAGCAACCACCACAAGAGGAATTGCACCAACAGTAGCACACATTCGCCCACCTGCTGCAGGCCGGCATCCATACACCACAATCACATTCCCTCCCATGCTCCACCACCACTCAGCACCGCAAGTCACCATTCATCACCACCGCATACTACCACCCACCATCACTCATCACCACCAACCACCGCACAGCACCACACCATACCGGCCACGAGGAACGTGACACACTCGTCCACCAGCTGCTGGTCGGTCATCTGCTCGTTTCTGACGTCATCCCTCGCTGCCAGCATCACTGCCAGCAGATCCTTCCCCGGCTCACTCTGATTGGAGCAAGGGGAGCATGGGGAGAGGGAGCAAGGGAAGGAAGAGGTGTTTAGGGTTGGGGTTGGGGATGGGGATGGGGATGGGGATGGGGATGGGGATGGGGATGGGGGAAACAGCTTCACTGCCAGCAGCCTTCTCTGGCTCGCTCTGGTTGGATGGAGGAAGGTCTGGGTAAGCAGGGTTGTGGGGGAAGAAGGCAGGGGAGATAGGGGGTATCGAGTCGACTTGATTCCCCAACCTCCCCTTTTCAGCTCATGCCAGCACCCTCTCCCCTGCCTGCCGCACCACTCGGCTCCCCACCTAATCCTCCAACCTCCCCTTTTCCCTTCAAACAACCAACCACCCACCACTTGCTCCTGTCTGCGCCTCGCAATCAGCCCCAGAGACAGCCATAGCACGCTCCATGCTGCTACCTGCGACCTTCTCTCATCTCCTGTTTCCCCCAACTTCCGCCCCATCAGCCCACACACCCACCCAAGCACCCACCGCTAGCTGCTGTCTGCGTGTGGACTCTCACGCCTCTCCTGCTCCCCCCTCCCTCCCGATTGCCCACACACGAACCCAAGCAAGCACCCACCGCTTGCTGCTGACTGCGTGTGGCAATGAGGTCGAGAGACAGGCGCCTCACCCTCTCCGCTGCCTGCTGCATCTCCCGGTTCTCCTGCGTTGGCAGCCAGCTGAGGCAGATGTGAGACACAGGCGTGGGCACATGGTGGGAGGAGACGGACACACTGTGAGAAGTTAAACTCAATCATTAACTTCATTAGAATGAACAAGAAGCACACATAGAGTTTGGAAGGTGAGCTTGGAAGGGAAGGGGAGTTGGGTGGTGGTGGTTTGGAAGCCCCATCTCAAGTGGGGAGGAAGGGGCACCCAACATGCAAGAGGGACCAACCCACTTGTGGGTTGTAAAAGGGGGCACCCAACTTGCAATTGGGTGGGTTGGATTGACATCCCAAAATGCAAGTCTACGCCCAAAGTTGGGTGTAGTCCCAACTCCATTGTACACTACATTTGGTGAACTCTAACATACACAAGGACCAATAGGGACATAGGCATCACCATCTCAAGCACACACTAGTGCGGGAAGCCAGCTGAGATCACGGTGGTGGGAGCAGCCATACCCACAGGCACATGCACATGGGTACAGCGCCCATGCCCATGTGCCCATGCCCACAATCACTGAGGGCACGAGCAGGCTCATGTGTGGTAGGGAATGAAGGAGTGAGAGGGGTAAGAGAAGAGGGCTGCACTGGCTTGAGGTCCCACTAACGGCTCACGTGCAGTGCGTGGAGCATGGGTGCAGCGCCTCACGTGTAAAAGGGAATGAAGAGGCGGCCTGAGAACATCCTTTTGGCGCTCCGAGTGCTCAGAACATTCACCGCCTCATACACGTCCCTCACACTCCTCCCCCCCTCTCCTCCTCCATTCGCCTCCTTCACACTCCTTTCCTCCTCCGTCTCCTTCCCACTACCACCATCCGTGCCCACCCCACTGCTGCTGACAGGGCTACCAAACGCAGCCAGGCCGATGATGTCGAGGGTGAGGGAGGTGAAGGCAGCATACATGTCAATCTCACACACGCCGCTGCCGCCGCCGCCGCCGCCGCTGTGCTTGCTGTCGCTGGCATGGGTGACTGCGTGAACCCAGTGCCGCACTGCCCTGCGCGCTTGGTCATCCATTACTGTCACTGCGTGCTGTGGCGGGGTAGGAGATAAGCGGAGTGGGAACCGTATGAGGGTGCACAGAGAGTGGGGAAGTCATTTAGCCCATGTGAATTTGTGTACTCACTGCCGCACTGCCCTTCGTGCTTGGTCGTCTTTACTGTCAGTGCGTGCTGTGGTGGGGTAGAACGGGCTGGGTTGGGTAAAAGGAGAGGAACGGGATGGGAAACGGTGCGAGGAAGGGGATGGGATGGGAGGAGAGGTAAGGACGGGGTAAGAGGAGAGAAAGGAGATGGGGTAAGAAGAGAGGACGGGGATGGGGTAAGAAGAGAGGAAGGGGTTGGGGTAAGAAGAGAGAAAGGAGATGGGGCACGAAGAGAGGGAAGGGGATGGGATAAGAGGAGAGCAAAGGAGGTGCCAGTGCCACTACTGCTGTCGCTGGTATGGATAATATGCACTACTGCTGTCGCTGGTATGGATAATATGCACTGCTGCTGTCGCTGGTATGGATGATGTGCACTGTGCACCTCGCAGGGCTGTTGCAATGGCCTTGGTGTGACCGGGGCTGATCATCTTGCTTGCACCTGTTGTGGATCAAGTGCGGGTCAAGCACAGAACAAAGATGCACGTGGGGCTGAACGCAGGGTTAGCTGTCCAACAGTCCAAGTGCGTCACCTTGCTGTAAGCGGGCTGAATGCACGGCTGATCATCTTGCTTGCACCTTGATGCACGTGGGGCTTGTTGCGGATCAAACGGGTCACCTTGATGCATGTGGGGCTCAACTCAACGCGGGGTTACCAGCTAGCTGGCCAGCAGGCCAAGCGCGTCACCTTGATGTAGGCGGGGCTGAACGCGGGGCTGATCATCTTGCGCTGCCGCGCCCAGAAGGCGCCCTCGGAGAACACCAGCCCGTTTGCCAGAAAATCCACCGTGCGCCGCGAGTTCTGGTCCTTCTGGAAGGACGCGTTCTTTGACACCATGATCTGCATGCAGCCGGAGAGGGGGGGAAGCGGAGAAGGGGGGTTTGGTGGAGAGAAGAAGGGGAAACAGGACGTCCACCGTGCGCATCGCGTTCTGGCCCATCGTTGAAGGAGGAGCTCTTTGCCACCATGAGCGGCAGTCAGAGTGGTGCGTGCAGAGTGGTGTTAATGGGGGGAGAGGGGGGAGAAGGACAGACAGACGCTGATTATCCGGCTGGCGTTCTGATCCTTGGGGAAACACGCGTTCCTTGCTACCATGGCCTGCGTGCAGCCGTGGAGAGGGAGGAAGAGCAAAGACGAGGGAATTGGAGGGAAAAGGGGGAAGTGGGAAGGGGGAGGAAGTGGAAGGGGAGTTGGGAGGGTAGACAAGAATAGGAGGCCATGACGCCAGCAGCACTGGATTGTAGCGGCCTAGACAAGGACACATTACGAATGAGGTGGCTACACGTGTATATCGTTTTGTCAGCGCGTGCTCTCCCTCCCTCCTGCACGTCACATGCTCGCTGTAAGCGTCCCGTCTTGGCATTCAGAAGTGGCGGCCCCCAGCAATACCAACTCTTCTTGCTTCACCCCCCCCAAGCTGCTCTAAACACCATGATGGACGCATAAGGTTTGTATGAGGTTCCTGAGTTCCCCATTGAAGGGCCGTGCCTGTGTTATAGTCACAATAGGCTTGAATGTGCCTAAAACGAAAGATAGAGAGCACAGACGGATTTCTGCACAGCGGCTTCAAACGTTGATAGCGTTCTCCTCACAGCTGCAAATGACTTGATTCAAATTGGATCTGGAGCGCCTTCACGTCTTCTACAATTAGCAATTTAGATTGCACGATTTGATAAAGAATTGACGACACAGCGTCGGTTTGAACGAACGGTACTATGGCAGCCACTATAGTCTTAGAACACAAGATAGGAAGAGTTACGAGTTGGGAATGACTCCCAGCTCCTACAAACCCCAAGAGCCGAGGTACAGTGATGTGGAACAGTGCCACACTGTCCCCAACCACGAAGGGTCTCGAAACTACCCTTCACTAGGGCCTACACCAAGTGAAATGTTACACTACACAAAGTAATGTAACTATCTTCAATATCTTGAGGTGTACCCTTTTGGCAAGCTTCGAAATCACTTGAGGCTTGACACCAAGGCTCGGGCTCTTCATCACAAACTCATCCTTGAGTTCTTGATGGGTCTGCTGCACACACCTGCGACACGCCGAACGTTCGACACAGGACAAAATAGAAACCGCGCACGACAAAATAGAAACCGCGCGCGAGACACAAACGACCGCGTAACACGCGTCTAGCGATAACTCGCTATTGACTCGACACACACACTCGACATCATGACTCAACATTCACACACAATTATAAGCATGAAATATATATTATCCCATGCCCTCATACCATTCCATACACACACACATTCACGCACACGGACAACAAGCCGAGTGCAAACCGTAGGGTTGCACCAACAAACTCCCCCTCGGATTGTTGGCCTTAGGATATGTTGCTCTCTCAGTTCAGAGCCATCCCAGCCAGCTTGCAACACTTCCAATGCTGCTGCTCCACCAGCCTCTTGGTCATCATGTCAGCCGGCTGCCCCGTGGTCTTCACGTAGCGCAACTCAACTTCACCCGCGGTTACCATGCTCCTCGTCCAATGCCACTTCACCCTCATGTGCTTCGTGAGTCCATGCAACACAGGGTTCTTAGCAAGAGCAATGGCACCCTGGCTGTCACAGTACAGTGGGGTAGGTCCTTGCTGCTCCTCTTCCAATTCAGCCAACAAACGCCGCTGCCACACAATCTCCCGTACGGCACGGAAGAGTGCCATGTACTCGGACTCCACCGAGCTCAAAGCTTGGTCAACCTGCTTCTTGCTCTCCCAAGCAGTTGGGCCTCCACCAACACAGCATATGAAGCCTCCCACACTTGTCATGTCCTCTGGTTCTGATGCATATGAAGCATCCGAGTAGGCGGTGAGGAACAAACGCCCGGGTTCAACACCATCCGCGCCCTTTTGGCGCCTTTGTGCCGCCGCCGAGTATTGCAGCCCAACGGTCGGTGTTTGGCCAAGATACTTGGCCACCCTCATTCCAGCTGCTACCTGCTCCTCATTAGGGCATTGCACAACCCTAGCCAGCTGCCCGGTAGCAAACGCGACGTCCGGTCGGGTGTTTACCGCCGCATACATGAGGCTGCCCACCAACGAGTGAAATCGGCGCCTCTCCTCTTCACCAACGCTCTCCTCCTCTGGTCCCTTCACACACTTGAACCCAGAGGGAAAGGGTGTAGCCACATGGCCTTCACTCTGCCCAAAGTTGGCAGCCAATGCCTCCAGGTACTTTCGTTGATGCACCCGCATGCACCGCTTCTCCACATCTCGTTCGATGTGGAGCCCAAGGTAGAAGCTCACGTCACCAAGGGCCTTGCACTTGAACTTGTCTTGAAGCTTCAGCATCACCTCCTTCACAAGGTCAGAAGAGGGTGAGAAAATAAGGATGTCATCCACATAAACCACCATGAAACTCCTCTGCTCCCCCTCGCCAAGCATGAACAAGGAGTGATCGGCCGTTGAGGGAGTGAAGCCGATCCCCTCCAACACTTCGCGCAGCTTCATGTACCATTGCCTAGGGGCCTGCTTCAGCCCATAGAGGGCCTTCTTCAGCTTCCACACTCTGCCACTACCATCATCAAACCCCTCTGGCTGCGCCATAAAAATCTCCTCCTCAAGGATGCCGTTAAGGAATGCCGTTACGATGTCCATTTGCTTTACTACCCATCCTTTGATGGCGGCTCCCGCGCATAGGGTTCGCAGTGTCGTCGGCTTCACCACAGGGGCAAACAGCTCCTTGAAGTCCACCTTCTCCTTCTGCTGGTACCCCTTGGCTACAAGCCTAGACTTGTAGCGCTCGATCTTGCCGTCGGCATCCGACTTGATTTTGAAGAGCCACTTGGACGTTATCGCCATACGCCCCTCCGGTAGCTCCACCAATTCAAACGTGTCATTCTCCTCGATGCTCTTCAGCTCACTCTCCATGGCCTTCTTCCACTCCTCAGCATCACTACTCTCCAAAGCCTCCTTGAGAGTTGCTGGTTCTCCCGGCATCTCCACCGGAGAGAAGAACGCGAAGGCACACTCCTCGTAGTCACTCTCCTCGTCGTCTCCGACCATCATTGCCGCTCCGGCCAGGGCTGTCTTGCCCTGCTTTCCCGGCGCATCATAGGTCAGCCTATTAGGGGGTTGAACTCTCCTCTTCCCCCTTCCTTCCTCCTCAGCTGCAGGGACTTGAAGGCCTTGGCGTTGCTGCGGTGTGGCTCGAATCCGTGGAGCACTCGTAGTACGGGAAAGGAGTGACGGTGCACGCTCGCTCACTTGCTGCACCTCCTCCTCTTCTTCCTCTGCATCATTGGCCTCCTCTCCCCCATTCACAAGGGAGGATTGCCTTGTGGTTGTGCTGCCGCTGCTCAGCTCCAAAGGCAGCTCCACATGCTCCAAACCGGAACTCTTCACCTCCCCAAACCGCACGCCTATCTTCGCCTCATTCTCCGCCTTCCAATCCTTGTACATGAAGTTCTCCATGAACTTGCAGTCCCTGCTCACCAAGAACTTCTTGGTGAATGGGTCCCAAAGAAGCCATCCCTTGCTGTTTTGAGCCATGCCCAAGTGCACGGCCCACACCGCCTTGGCACCAAGCTTGTTGTGCCGAAGATGCTTAGGCACGAGCGCCATGCACATGCACCCGAACACCCGAAGCATATCCACCTTTGGCTTCCTTCCTAGCCACTCCACATAGGGCACCCATTTGTCTGCTCCCACATGAGTCAAAGCTCTGTTCTTGGCCACACACGCGCTCCGCACCGCATCAGGCCAGAAATAGTCGGGTAGCCCGGCTTCAATGAGCAACCCGCGTGCCGCCTCCGTGATTGTGCGGTTCGCTCGCTCGGCGATGCCGTTCATTGCAGGGGAGTATGGCATGGTGAGGGAGTGCCGAATACCATTCTTCTTCAGCCACAACCCAAACTCCTTGCTCAGGAACTCTCCCCCTCGATCGGTGCGGATTGACTTGACTAGACGGTCTTGTTGCCGCTCCACCATCGGGAACCAATCCGTCTTCAACGTTTCAGCCACGTCGCTCTTCTTGGCCAGCACGTACACCCAAGTCATGCGGGTGTAGACGTCGACAATGGTGAGAAAATACTCAGCTCTAGCAGCTCCAAGCTTCAGGGGGCCCACCACGTCCATCACCACCTCATCAAGCGGTGCCTTTGCCGTTGCCTCCGAACTAGGGAACGGAAACCGGGTGAACTTGGCTTGAATGCACGTCGGGCAGCCAAGCACCTCATCGGGCTCCCCCTTCATACGTATGCCAGCAACCATCTCATTCTTCACTAGCTGCTGCAAGATGGGCAGGGCCACATGCCCCATGCGCCGATGCAAGGTGAGCCAATCACACTCCCCCGTAGCCGAAGTTGGATTGGAGAATGCCGCGCTCGCAATAGCGCCCCACATACTCTCTCCGTAGTCCTCCTCCGCTGCTGCCTCTGGGTTCTCCTCTCTCCGTAGTCCTCCTCCGCTGCTGCCTCTGGGTTCTCCTCACCCTCTGGGTTCTCCTCACAATAGGCTTGAATGTGCCTAAAACGAAAGATAGAGAGCACAGGCGGATTTCTGCACAGCGGCTTCAAACGTTGATAGCGTTCTCCTCACAGCTGCAAATGACTTGATTCAAATTGGATCTGGAGCGCCTTCACTTTTTCTACAATTAGCAATTTAGATTGCACGATTTGATAAAGAATTGACGACACAGCGTCGGTTTGAACGAACGGTACTATGGCAGCCACTATAGTCTTAGAACACAAGATAGGAAGAGTTACGAGTTGGGAATGACTCCCAGCTCCTACAAACCCCAAGAGCCGAGGTACAGTGATGTGGAACAGTGCCACACTGTCCCCAACCACGAAGGGTCTCGAAACTACCCTTCACTAGGGCCTACACCAAGTG